GCAATAAAGGGGTAAAGCCCACAGTACTTGGGTCCCTTAAATTTTAAAGGAAAACCTAGCTTTTCCATTATACCATGACGTCCCTTTTGAACAAAAGTATGAATAGCATTCGAGGACATGCGGTCACCAATATAAAGCCTTATATCTGTCCATACTTGATTTGTAGCTGCAACTATATCTATAAATAATTTCAATAAATTATAACAAAATAGTATTCAAAAGTAATTTAATAAATTGTAAAAAATTTGAATGCACAAATTGTCATGTAATTAATGTTTATTGATTTATTATGATTCAAAAAAAGTAAAAGGAGTGTAATGCAATAATTGACTGTTTAATATTGATCAGTGTTAAATAATCATTACTTCTGTATTAATACCTACTGAATAGTATGATACATTTACCTAATAATGTTTATATTATAAAAATGTATTAAGTATATAATAGATTATTTATTTTTTATTGATCTTAAGAATGGCAACTATGGCCATTAGCTGGATAATTTATTATAATACAGTTAACTGGTACCTATTTTAACATTTTGTCAATTTTATAACATTGACTGCCTGCTGATATGAAATTTGTTTTTAACATTGAATAACATTACCTAGTATATAACATAATATATGCAATAAAATTTTTGACATGTCGTAAAGAAATGTTGCGATGCTTTGTTCCATTCTTCTTATTTTGTCTTCTGAGAAAGGTTCAGCCAATTGACTGTTTGCTATCTGTATATGTTTCGTTAAACATGGTGGCATATTACTTCCGTCACCTATCGTACAATTGTCATGTTCCCCGTTCACAATGGCGAAATCCAGTCTTGTACAGAATGATTTGTATGTTTCCCTATAATTAGATTTTTTTTTCTATTATTTAATTATATACTACCTAACTTTGTACGATAAGAATTAATTTAATTTAATTTCTATATTATATATATTTTTTTTTAAAGTCACGAGTTTACTATGTCGTTACGAGCTCGTATTGTATCCATTTCCGTAAACTCTAATGTTTGTACTAGGTATCTATATCTCTCCTTCCTGACTGGTCTATAGTGCTTTACTATAGTAATCATTATCAACAGCATTATTATTACTATTATTCCTAGTATTCCGCATACTATATATAGGTAATAAATTATGCGTTCATCTGGAATGCACACAACTGTTTTTTTCATTATTATACACAAAATATCTGCCTCCGGTTGTTTCGTAATTTATATTTTCACTTTCTGTGGTACTCCAGTGTTGCGTTGAAATTTCATCCGTAAGATTATTCAATTCGTAATTTGATATTGTACGTCCGGTTCGTGCTGCCTGTGTAGCGTGACCTACTGTGCTAGTTATGTTTGTATAATCATTGTTTACTTCCGTGACGTTGAACTTGATTGACCTAGTTGTCGTTGCCGTGATATTTGTTTGCATTACATTGTCATTGTTTACTTTTTTTATTTCTCCCATCCGACGATAACTCATATAATATTCCGATTCCATTTTGAATTGTTCATAATACGATCCATTCTTATTTTTTAATTGTATTGTACATGATTTCTCCAATAGGTACTCATTTTCAAGAACAAATGATTGATATACACTTCCTTGATTTGGGGTGTTACATTTAATTTGTAACGATTCCATATTACATTCATTGTACTGAAATTGTGGAAAGATTATTGTGTCAGATTGATAGTAGTCTATTCCTACCAGATTCCCTGAATTATAATAGATCTTTATCATTGAACTCTTGCTGG